TTCCTGCTGCTGTAACATGCTCAGATTTATAGCATTGCTAAGACTGCTTGTATTATGGCCAATTATAGATTTAGCAAGCTGTTCATAAACTGGATTCAGACTGAGAAAACCATGTTTACAATTCTTTCACGATAGTTGGATGTACTTACCAGCTGATACTCGCTCCGACGGCTAAAAGCTTCCTTGATCCCAGAATCCTTCCACAGCATGCTCAGTGCAGGTACATACAACTGGAATGTAGCAGGCTTTGTATTATGGCCAATTATAGATTTAGCAAGCTGTTCATAAACTGGATTCAGACTGAGAAAACCATGTTTACAATTCTTTCACGATAGTTGGATGTACTTACCAGCTGATACTCGCTCCGACGGCTAAAAGCTTCCTTGATCCCAGAATCCTTCCACAGCATGCTCAGTGCAGGTACATACAACTGGAATGTAGCAGGCTCTATAGGCATTCCAGATTTGTTTTCAAAAGCCATCAAAAACATTCCATGCTTCTCATTCTCCATGTATTGCCAAGGGATCCCTAGTTTGTCCCGTGCATCAACAAGAACTCTGCAGCCCTACGGAATGATTCAGATAAAACAGAGTCAGTGATTTAAAAAAGGAACTCAAGAACTTAAAGTACATGAAGTTTACTGTGGCACAAGTCAGTATTCCTATGGGAGGATAATTCAGAAGGGAATCCAAAATATGCTACACTGCAAGGTGCAACATATGAAGGAATATAAACTTTTAAGCAACATAGCTGCTATATATCTGGGGCTGGGATGAGAGCTGAAACACTCGTAAAGTGACACATTCAGACAGTAATGGATAAAAAAGAAAAGAAAGATATCAAATGTATAACTAGACTATTTTCTGTCGGGCAACTTAAAACAAACTCCCAGCCCATCACTGTATTATCCAAATACCTACTGAAGCACCTTCTCTTTCCACCAGTCCTTAGCAGTTGGATTCTAACATCAGTTCAGACACACCCCACTCCTGAGAAAGTTAGGGCAACACATCCCCACAAAAGGCAGTTTTAATGAAGATTAATCGACAGATATGGCAGGACTGAAAGGCTGAAGTGGTATTTGTTGCACATACCTCAAAGTCTTTTAGTTCAATAGTATACTCCTATTCCTCAACCCAAATGATTTTTTTCCTCTGAAGAATTACAGAAACCTGCAAGGCTATTCCACTTACTAGCCATGATCTGAAATACACACTGTATTGTAAGAACTACCAAAAAGGTTGGCTGGAAGATATATTTGACTTAAAATGCAGGTCAGAGCACTACAGTTATTTAACAGATGGAGTGTTTTATAAATGTTTTCTTGTTATATATCCTGGGAAATACTTGAGGAAATTTTGAACATTACCATGTAAAAAGAAACAGCAACTTCCTAAAAAACATTGCTTGATGGATATGTCACACACATGGAAAGCTGAACAAACCTCCTTTCAAACTAGCGATGTAAGCAACTAGTTGGCTACCAGATAAACGTATGCTTATTGGGTAGTCCAGTAGTTACTCAACTAGTCGCTTCCTCTCCCATCTCCTTGCTGCCTCTGGGGAGGGAGCGGGGAGCAGGAGCCAGGGCTGGGGAGAGCCGGCTTAAATGCCAGTTCCCCCAGCATCATCTCAGTGGCGGGGGGAGGGGCAGGCAAAAAGAGGCAAAGGCAAAGCAGGGGACCAGCGTGAGCCAGGAAGCAGCTAATTCCCAGCTCATGCCCAGTCTCAGATGCTGTGCTTCTACTTTTTTAAACCTATTAAGAGCCACCAAGGGTTAGCTCCTAGGCTAACCCCACTATGGCTCAGCAGTTTCTCCCCTTATCGACTAATTATGTAGTCAATAGAAATTCCATCGACTACTCGATTAGCTGATTACCCACAATTTAACCTTAATTCAGACCTTAATTATTCAGCATGGAAGCCAAATATTGTTTTTGAAAGTGTGTACAGCATATTTTAGAGTAAACTAGACTGATTTACAGGTCGCTGTCATCATGCCCAAGAACTCTTATGTTAAGTAAATTTTTTTCCTGAAAACTCACAGGACATCATAGGACATTTGGAGGGCAAGCAAAAGGATTAGGGGACTAGAGCACATAACTTACAAGGAGAGGCTGAGGGATTTGAGCTTATTTAGTCTACAGAAGAGAATAATGAGGTGGGATTTAATAGCTGCCTCCAACTAACTGAAGGTGGATTCCAAAGGCTGGAGAGAGACTGTTCTCAGTAGCATCAGATGACAGAAAAAGAACAATGGTCTCAAGTTGCAGTGGAGAAAGTCTAGGTTGGACATTAGGAAAAACTATTTTACTAGGAGGGTGGTGAACCACTGGTATGGGTCACTGAGGGAGGTAGTGTAATCTTTAGCCCTAGAGGTTTTTAAGTGCCTGCATGACAAAGCCCTGGCTGGGATTATTTAGTTGGGGTTGGTCCTGCTTTGGGCAGAAGGTTGGACTCTACCAACCCTATGGGCTACGTCTAAACTACACCCCTCTGTCTGCAGAGAGACGTAAATGAAGCACTTCAAAAGTGCAAATGAAGCGGGGATTTAAATACCCTGTGCTTCATTTGCATAACTGCATCATGGTGCTATTTCAAACAAGCGCCATTTCGAAACTGAAACCATGGTTTAGATGTGGTTTTTTTTTTTGACAATGGGGCACTTTTTCGAATGACGTTTATTCGAAACAGTGGCATGAAGCAATTATGCAAATGAAGCGCAGGATATTTAAATCCCCGCTTCATTTGCACTTTTGAGGTACTTCATTTATATCCCTCTCCCAATAGAGGGGTGTAGTTTAGACACACCCTATGATTCTATGTCTATGCGCTTACTACATAGCCTTAACGTACTACAGGTTGAACCTCTCTAGTCTGGAACTCTCAAGGCCTGACTGGTGCTGAACCAGAGAATTTGCCAAACCACAGGAGGTCAATATTGTCTGGTATCATTACCAACACCTCTATTGCTTAGTGGGCTCTTAGAAAACATTAAAGAGTGAATTAGATCTAAATTACAGCACAGAACACAGAGCCAGGACTGCTGGCTGTAAAACAAACTTAATGGGACTGCAGGAAACTTGGCCACACCCACAATAAGTGGACATCCAGCCAACTAAAATCATGTCAGACTACGGATGTTGTCAGGTTTTTTCTTTGAATACATATAGACTGAAGACTTGCTTCAGCAGCTTTCACCCCAACTTCTAGACCAAGGATGTGAAGCTTCTTGTTTGAGACATATGACAAAATAACATGTTTAACACACTCATGTAACCTTGGATTACTTAAATCTTCACTCACTGTTATAGTACAGACATAAAGAACTCATCCACTTCAACCCTTTAAACACACACACACACACAGAGCAAGGATATTTTGTTAAGAGAAATTGAAACGGGACAGAGTTGAGACATTAAAGAATTGAGTGCAGCAGAACATGTACTTATAATATAATAAAAGCAACTCAGAAACCATTATATAGTAATGCTCTTACTACTAGTGTTGTTTCCCAAATGTAAACAGTTAATCCTGAACGCACATATTAATACAACATAATCCTCCAGACACAATGTTCAAAGAACATGTTCTCATGATACCGAGTACAGAACACAATTCACCATTTAAATCCTCAAAATGAGATAATGAAGATATGCATTTAGGATTTTGATTTATTGGACTGACCAAAAGCTGAAAAGCCTGTTTTCATTTCCAGATAGTTAGTTCACCCCCTCTTTGATACAAAAATCTTAATCTGTTACTGTACATGAAGCTCTCAACATAAAACAGATTAGACAAAGGCTCTCATCCAGAATTGCACAAATGACTCTACATTCTTTGTGACACATCAGTTTCTCAATTTTTTTTAAAATAAAGTACCCCTTTTAAAAAAGTTATAAGTACCCCTGTTATCTAGTTTTCAGACACATATTTTTTTTTCTACCATTGCAATGCATTTGTTTAAACAACTTAATCATAGCTGGGCAGGTAATGAAACTTTTGGGCGTAAAAAGTACAAAAATAATAAAGCGCTGTAAAACTTAACACAAAAATTTCAGTTTTGTTGATGTACCCCCAGACTTGAGGGTACTTGTACCACTGATTGAAAAACACTGCTCTACATTCTTTAAAACTAATGACATACACAAAGTACCACTCTGGGAGAAATTCAAAAATCAGCCTGTGGAAAGCTGATATTTTGGGAGTTAAAAAAAAAAAACCCACAACATTGCTCTGCATATTGATAATGTAAAGATTCAGTTTTATTGTCTTGAAGAGAAATGGTTATTTGGATGGTTCTCCAGGGAAGCTATCCAAAATACAATCACATTAGTTGTTGCAATTGCTATCTTCCATGTCCATTAAGTTTGATTGCAAATATGCATCTAGCCTTCTAGCCCACGCAAGCCAGATTTGACCTTTCACCTGCTTAAGACTGCAGGTCACCAGAACCTTCTCACTCAGCTGTTTACTATCTAGCTTCTCTTACAACTTCAAAATGGTTTCCACCTTTACCCTTCATTTTACTATTCACTGGAGAGTCTGATTTACAACAGCTGCTTATCAAAATAATGGTACTCCCATCAATATCACATCAGGTGTTTTTAAAATATCTGATGTGTTTCATCTCTATACAGTGATCAGCTCTTACTTTTCCTGTTTCCACGTGTACCAAAGATACCAAGGGAGTGGAGTTTATGCTAGTTACGTTTCTCTGTCTATTTTTTTTTGAGAACTAGGGATGTGATAGTGTGAACTGTTAACCAATGAGTCCAGGCTCACTGGTAAACCTTCATGATTACATAGCCTCCCCTCCCCCAGCATTGCTCCCTCCCATTAAAGGGAGGTGGGAGCTTGTGCTCAAGGTGAGCCACCTGCTCCCTACACTACTGCCTCTAATACAGAGGGAGCAATGCAGGGGAGCAGACAGGAGCTGGCATGCTTGGGGAGCTGGCTTAAAAGCCCCACTTGTGTAAACATGTAACCACTGAAATTTTCAGTGGTTACATGTTTACCTAAATAAACACATTTTAACATCCCTAAAAACAATCTGACAGCTGATGGAGATGTTTTGCAACTGTCAGCCTAACAAATGCAACTTTCCCAGTTTCAGATTTGGATGCTTCCCAAACTGACAATTTCTGTATCTTGGGGCAAGACTTGCAAGAGCACGTAGGTGACTTGAGGCTCCTAAATCCCAAGGAAAGTCAATGGAACTGAAGTATCATTTTCAAAAGTTACTTAGATGCTTTAAAAAAAAAGTTACCTTACACAATTAAACGTCTGCCTATAATTACCCCTGTGAAGGGAAATTAAAAGCCAGTGAGATCAGATGTTTAGAAAGTTTCTTTAAACAGACAAAATTTTCCCCATAAACTTTGTCATCTGCTAGTTTACTGTTATATAGTGGATCTGAGAATGTATTTGCACATCCAACACATCTGAACTGCTTCACAAAGTTTGGGACCCATATCATCCTATTATATCCATTACACATAGAGCAAACAGTTACAAAAATCTCAGTAAGTTATAGCTAGTCATGACCAGAATTAAATATCATCC